AACACGACATGCTTCTCAACAAGAATAGTGTGAGGGTGGACTACAATACTCCACTGACACTAATCCAACACCTTACTGACACTATACTAATACTCTAAAACTCTCACCTAATAAACTAATACCCTGACAATACTCCACTAATACCCTGACAATACTCCACTGATACCCTGACAATACTCCACTAATACACTGATAATACTCCACTAATACCCTGACAATACTCCACTAATACCCTGATAATACTCCACTAATACCCTGATAATACTCCACTAATACCCTGATAATACTCCACTAATACCCTGACAATACTCCACTAATACCCTGATAATACTCCACTAATACCCTGACAATACTCCACTAATACCCTGATAATACTCCACTAATACCCTGATAATACTCCACTAATACCCTGATAATACTCCACTAATACCCTGATAATACTCCACTAATACCCTGACAATACTCCACTAATACCCTGACAATACTCCACTAATATTCTAACAATACTCTAGTGCTGCTTTATTAATGTTTCACAAATTCTTTGCTGATTATCTTCTAATACTCTACTAATACTCCACCAATACACAATACCAAAATCACCACTCTGATAATACTCTACTAATTCTTTACCAAAATTCTGATATTGCTCTACTATTACCATATCAATACTCTTATATGACTCTATTACCAATTCTTTCTGATACACCACTAATACTTTACTAAAACTCCACCGACACTCTATCACTACACTGATAATATTCTACTAATACTACCAATACTCTGAGATTACTCTATTAATACTCCAATACAATATTGACACTCTAGTAATACTCTGCTGGTACTCTGCTAATACTCTACCGATACACCACTGATACTTTGATAATTCTTTACTAATACTCTACCAATACTTCAATTATACCCTATTAATACTCTACTGATACTTTAGTGAGTTAGCTTGGATATAGGTACAAAGATACAGTCAGTTGTTATCACTGTGGCCTCACAGCAGGAAGGTCGCTGGTTTGAGTTTCGGCTGGGTCAGTTGGTGTTTCTGTGTGGAGTTTGCATGTTCTCCCCGTGTTGGCGTGGGTTTCCTCCGGGTGCTCCGGTTTCCCCCATAGTCCAATCTATAAGGGAACTGATCAACTAAACTGGCCGTATTGTGTGTGTGTGTGTGTGTGAATGTGTGTGTGTGTGTGTGAGTGAATGAATGTGTATTGGTGTTTCCAAGTACTGGGAATCCACTATGTAAAACATATGCTGGAATAGTTGGCGGTTCATTCCGCTGTGGCAACTCCTGATGAATACAGGAACTAAGCTGAAGAAAAATAAATGAATGATAATATAATAGTAATTATAAATCCTATTAATACATATCAGTGTCTCTCTCTCTCTCTCTGTGTTTGTGTGTGTGTGTGTGTGTGCAGCTGCTGAAGTCTCTGACCCCTGAGGAGAACACTAGCTGCCGCCGCGGCCTGTTCTTCCAGGACGGTCAGAGGAAGGTGGATTATATCCTGACGTATCACCTGAAGAAGAGCAGCAGCTCGCGCCGACACACCTGCAGGCTGAAGGACAACGCTCTGACTCGAACCCTGAGCCGCTCTGCAGCTCCGCACACCAGCCACAGGGGCGACGCCCACAGCCCGAGCCCACAGCAGGATGACCAAAAGCAGCAGCGCAGAGAAGAGTTCCAGAGGAGCCTGGAGGAGATGGGGCTGGAGCTGGAGCACGACGAGGAGGTGCACACACACACGCGCAGACATGCACACATACATGCAGAGACACATGCACTAACACGCACACTAATAACTCATGTGTGTGTGGTGTGTTTGCTGGTGTTATCTGTGTGTTTGATTACAGTAGTAAACAGTGACGGACCGTGTGGTGTTTATTGATCATGGAGGTGTCGCCGCAGCCGTCAGTGTGTCTGTGTGTCGTCATGAATCTGCTGAATCTAGTGTTTGTGTGTGTGTGTGTGTGTGTGAATGAAACACGTTCTTCAGCATGTAATACAGCTGCGTGTGTGTTTTACTCATTAAACCTGCTAAACTTCAGGAGTGTGTTCTGGGGTTCCAGACGGCCGCAGCAGCTGTCGAGGTGTTTTTTTGGTCCATGCTAGAAACTCAATCTGACGCACTCATTTCCTCATTCACACACAATACACACACACACACACACACACACACACACACACACACACTCACTTAAGCAGACGCGAATACACACACATATATACAGACATCAATGAAAACACACACACACACACACACTTGAGCAGACGCGAATCACACACATATATACAGACATCAATGAAAGCGCGCACACACACACACACACACACACACACACACACACACACACACACACACACACTCACACACACACGCACACACACACACACACACACACAAACACAGAGAGAGAGAGAGAGAGAGAGAGAGAGAGAGACACTGATATGTATTAATATGATTTATAATTACTATTATATTATCATTCATTT